CTCGATGATATGCACTTTGAATTTGAGAATAATAAATGAAAATGCAAGGATATAAGCAAATTATTAAGTCGTTGAATTCACCACGCACCAAATTGTAGGAAAAATCTCTGAAGGTTTTACAAAAAAATTTTAGATTTGTTGAATTTAAACAAAAATATGGGAATTCTACCCAAATGTCATTAGTGAATATTACTCAAAGAGGAACAAGTAATATAAGATCTTTGGCTGCCAAAATTCTTTTTCAGTTGAATATACTTCATGAACAGACTTCGTTTTTTTATTGTGATATTGAGATGAGAATACATATCTTATGTGGATATTGAATTGAAATATTGATTACATTTTCATTTGGGATGTTGTTGTTTGCTATGTTAGCTTAATATTATGTTTTTGTTTTCATTAACATTTTTTTCATAATTTTTTTTTTTTAATTTGACTGCTGGACTTGTAAAAATTAATTCATTTTGGTGGTTATTAACAATCCGAATCGAGCCGAACCAAAATATGAACCGAACCGACTTACGTGATTATGGTACGGTTATGGTATGACCAAAAAATTGGTGGTTCGGTGATGGTTTTGACTGAACCAACCCCGAACTGAACCGTTGCCAACCATAAAGTGATCTGATGTGCATTCACAGAGTGGCACCAACATGTTTAGATTCCGAGGCATTCTCTGCCTTACAAGGATGAAGAAAAGACCCAATAAACGTCCATCAAAACCTTGAAATGAATAAGATTTTAACATATTTAAATCTATAATCTTGTCTAATGTGGTCAAATCAAAGCCCCAAACATTCCAATAAAACACGTGTGTGTGTGTGTGTGAGAGAGAGAGAGACTTATGAACAATTTTATATTAATAAATCATTTGCCAAACAAAATGAAAAAAGAAAAAGAACATACCAATTACAAGTTACAAGAGAAATATCTGAAATTCATGTCAGATTCCTAATCTCTTTGTGCCACATTCTGAGCAGAACTTTGAGGTCTCCCTTAAATAAGGAGCTCCACATTCATCACAAAATTTTGCTGGGCTTGTTGCCTGCATTAATAAATTCAAAATTATTGACTATGAGGCAATGAAGTTAGAGATACCAGTACATAATAGAAGAAGAAATCATTTTCCAGTTTAGATTGGAAAACTTCAGGCAGAACAGTATTCTACCGTAATTGCTTCTCATGTAAAACTTTTACGCATTTTATAGTAGAACTAATTCTTTTTTATCGAAATTTATCCATGCAGATTAAAATGAATAGCTGGTTTTTATAGTTTGGGTAAAATTCAAATGCAATTTGAAAAAAGCAACAGCTTAAGGGCACAAATATGTGGTAGTAGTACTTTGCCTCTGATAGTCCCCAAGTCAAAGCAATTCTTGGTTCTCAAAAAATTTTGAGAGACAAATATATGCATAACTGATGTTGCTGAAGGGATTCTGAGCAGGAAAGTGACTTGCAAAAGAAGTATTTCATTTCACTTTTCCATTCAAAGAAACAAATGCTCATAATCCTCCAATACGCAGAGAAATAACTCCAATATGACAAATTAAAAGCAATAATCACCATAATCTGCTGAGAAAATATAAAGAGCACAATTAAAACTAGACAGAAAATTTTGTTTGGCAGAACCATAAGAGGCCAGATAACTAATTGAAACGATATTAAATCCTAATAAAGACCTCATATCAAAGAATTGGCAAACGGTAATAATTAATGGTAAATAAAAAATATCACACACCAGTACATGCAAACGTCCTCCAACATGACCAATAGGTTGTAAGCAGGCAATGTGTTGGGGGATGGTTGATGAGTCCTGGTTATGAGAAAGTTCAGGCACACACTGTTGGCTGTGCATAAAGTGTGTTGCCTGTGGATTGTGACTAATATGATTCTGATGGCTCTGATGTAGAGGATGAAACTGGACCTGATGCGAGATTGGCTGCATATGTTGTTTTGTCGGAGTCTGCTCAGTATTCTGTGGATTCAGATTAACACACAAATAAAAGAAATTACATACATAAGATGACAAGAATATTTAAATCAGAATAAAATCCATCAGAACAATAATACATGCATATACGTGTATAGTTTAAATCTGTGACTGAGTGTTACACACTAAAAAAGTCTTTTTCATAAAGATACATATGGCCTACCATACGGCTATACCACAAATTTTCTCATGGGATCTAAACAAATCATATAATAACAGCCAATCATCAGTTACACTAGGTTTAGCTTATAAAACATTCAATTGCATTAGTAAGTACCGGTAGTTTTTAATGAAAAATAAATTGCTTAGGCGTTCAAGTGCACTAGAGCATGACAATGCATAAATTGACAAAAGTCAAGCACCTAAAAACATTAGAGAGCTCTATAATACAAAAACTTGTTAAGGTTCAATAAGTTGACTGGAATAACTCGAGAACAAAAAGTTCAATCAGTGAAAATGAGTTTGAAAGGCCACAAGGACAGTCCTACATCTGGACATCTTGTTTCAAACTCTTCGCAATTAGGTTAAGGTTACCTACTTCACGTCTTACAATTTCAGTTCATGAATACAGGAAATGTAATTGACTTATTATTCCAAAAAATAATAATAATAAAAATACACGCACAAACACACACACACACACACATACCATTCTATCATCACAAACAAAACAATAGAACATATAACAAAATTCATTCCATTTAAATAGAAATTATGCCTATTGCCATGCAGGAGCTTTCTCGAAAAAGAATATCTTACTTCACTAACAGAAGCTTCGGTTTTAAAAGCAGCAAAAGAAGCAAATAATCTGGAGATTTTTTTATTTATTTATTTATTTTGATAAATAATCAGATAATTTTATTAATCAAAATCATCTGTGGAGAAAGTGTCTGAATTTTTTATCAAAAGGAGCTTAACTTTGACGTATTGTGAGGCTAAACAATCAGCACTACAGCTAAAGAGTTTTTTGAAGCTTACAGGCAAACTGTTAACATTGGAAATGGAGTTTGACCCCACACGCCTATACTTGTGTCTTGGCGCATAAAACTTGTAGTCTCCAGCAGAGACAGCCACTTCATTTCGTCCTGTCAATCTTTTGAACCTAATAGAAAAACAAGAGAGTATAATTAAAGGGTCAAAAAGATCTACATCCAATTTAAATTCAAATACATATTTTGCAATAATAACCTTTTAAGTTTCAAAATTACATAATTTGCAATAACCTTTTTAAGTTTCACAATTAGAACGAGCTCGGAGATGATTGCAAACTACAATATAATCTTCTCTCTAATTTAATACTCGATATATTACCAATCTCTTTCATAAAATAAATTTTTCCAGTCCCGACTTTGGCTAAGGATACAAACTAATATTTTCTATTGAACAATAAGATAATAAATTACTGAAATTCCCCTGTAAGAATGTGTGGTTCCACTGATTAGTAATTTGCTAAAATGTCGCATAGGATTGATTCAATCAATCTCGCAATCTCAGAATTCCCACAAAACTGAGATTGCAAGGCTGTCAGTGCAGAAAACATTTTTCTTTTCTATATTTGTTTGCCCCACTTTGTAGCTCCAAATTACTACGGTAAAATCGTCAACTAAAATGCATCTTGAAAGCTCTAGATCGTTGATGTCATGTTTAGTGGCAAAAAAAAATATCTCAACATTTTTTATTTCTTCAATAGTTTTTAGATGGGCTGGACGACTATCTACAACCAATAGGACTTCGATGTTTTCAAGATGCAGCTAATAACCAACAAATAGCAAGTGCTCTTTCATGTAACTTCTTGTCAAGCCATTAAAAATATTCCTTGAATGTGGTCATCCATGATCTTTTGTTGACATTATATTGACAATTCATGTTGTTCATGTTCACATTCTTGAAGCTCCCATAAATGGTGAAATGACTTGATTCCATGTTTTAAATTTGAACTTCTCTAGCCAACATAGAGAAAAATAGAATTGTGGAGAATTTACGGGATAATTTTTTTTTTTTTTTTTTTTTCCCTCCATAAACGTTTTATATGTCTCTTTATTAACCTACAAAGAGGTGGTGCTAAGCAATAGTGGATGATAACATTCTCATAAAATACATAATAAGAAAAGAAAATAATCTAAACTGAGAAAAATATTAGTTGCAATTAAACTATGGATGATATGGGACACTAAGAGATGATGCCTAGAACAAAATAAAAAGTTGGCTAACAGGTATGCAAGAAGGGATTCAGCAGTGAGTAATATAGTACGCTATTGCCATACATTATGCATCAATTAAATGTCCAATGTTTTGACAAAGGTGGAGGGTAAAAAAGTCTCTTACTTTTAAGTTCAAAACAATGGTGTAGAGAGAGACACCTGGGGGAGAGACAGAGAGGACAATAAAAATACAAGCTATTGATGTGACCAATGTTGCTCTATCAATAGCTTCAGAATATGCCATTAATGATAAAGATCTCGAATCAAGTCTATCTTTCTACGGTCAAATTTTCAGCTGCCTACTCATGGTCAATGTTCTCGGTCTGCATTTTCTAGCTAGTATGGGCAAGATATAATTGGGATCCATCTATAGCAGGAGGCATCACCTAGAGAAGCAACATTCTATTTTTAAATTTCACTAGACAAGTTTTTCACCTCTATAAAGTAAGAAACACACCAGAGGAAAAAAAAGGTTATAAGTGAGGCTAAGAATTCCTTTGATTCTTATTGCCTATTTGATTTTCACAATAACTCACAAACAAAAGACAGATATATCATATGAAGAAATATAAGTAAGCGTACATTGCCGACAACCACAATTACGAGGACTAAGTATTGCAAGTAAAGGAAAGTGCTACTGGAAATTCTAATTAAAGCTCTGACATACCACTCAGCATCATCAGCACCAATTTTTGTTGGTTTTTCGGTGATAGTCAAACCATTTACCACTACGAAACGAACACGTTTCTCCTCTTGTATCACTAGTTCAGGAAATCTTGACCTTGTTTCGAAAGAAGTTGCCAATTCTCGTCTTTTGAACGCACAGGTTCCTACACGACAATATAAACCTCAACAGTAAACAAGCCAGTGATTGGATCAACGTCAAATTCGCATGCAGCAAAATCAGTAGTATGTTATTCTTTATTGCAAAGACAAATTAAGATCAATCGAGACTTGAAAGTGCAAAATCATACAAGGAACAGACGTGAATAGAAATTAAACTAATGTCCGTGTACCTCAACCAGCTTCTCAAGCTTATATCTATATTACTTCAACACTACTTCTTTCATTCTTTATTTTTCTGTCTTCTATCTTTCATGTTTTTCTCTTTTGGTTCGGAAAAGAATGGAAGAGTAGAAACTGAAAAGACTTTAAGCAAGAATGAGGTATCCAAGAAATACATTATAAACTGTGATAAATTATGCAGCATATATTAAGATAAGATTTTTTATTGAAAAATTTAGGAGTGTCCAGAATACAACTTTGATTATTTAAAGGTTAACAACTTAACATAGAGAAAGAATCAAATTGATACCTTCCCTTGGAAATTTCTTTGCAAGCTTTCTATACAAACCACCAGCAGCTTCAAGGGCCACACCAATGGTTTTATCACGCATGCCATTCATGGAGGATAACCTCATATTAACTTCATTGACCAAGGTTTCATACATGTTTGCGATATACATCAAGGGCAGAGCATAGTGTGCATCGCCTTCATATCTGAACTCTCTGGATTTCCTCTTGCTCAGTTTTTCTTGTGAGGATTGCTGCATCATGTAGTCTGCCTCATAATCAGGCCTTTCAATCAGATGCGTGTCAATAAAATTATCTACAATGATATCCAAAAATCTTGCTCTGGCTGATTCAATTGGTGAAGCATCTGGACGTGGAGGAAAGTAAACACATAACAGATGATCTAAAACTAATCACTATGTCAAATAAATTTCAATTAAACAAGTAATGAAATGAGTTACCATCAATAGTCAAAATATTGTAAGGACACCTTGAAGACGACCCATTGTTTTCAAGACTATTTCGATCTTCCTCTACCAATATGCTGTGAAGTGGTAAAGAGCTCCTGTAAGACTCGTGCATGCAATCCTAAAAGATAAATATACGCTATTAATCTAGAGCGATAAAATTAATAAAAACAAAAGCTCCAATTAACAGCGCATATTTTATGGGTGAAAACAATCACTAAAAAATGAAAAATGA